GTAGCCGAGCGGTCTAAGGCATGAACTGTCTTCGCTCGCTCGGAAGCCGGGATCGTGGGTTCGGATGTTTCCTGTGAGGTACGAACTGAATTCTTATATGTTATTCTTCTACACTGCCGGTCACGGTAGCCGAACGGTCTAAGGCATGAACTGTCTTCGCCCGCTCGGAAGCCGGGATCGTGGGTTCGGATGTTTCCTGTGAGGTACGAACTGAATTCTTATATGTTATTCTTCTACACTGCCGGTCACGGTAGCCGAACGGTCTAAGGCATGAACTGTCTTCGCCCGCTCGGAAGCCGGGATCGTGGGTTCGGATGTTTCCTGTGAGGTACGAACTGAATTCTTATATGTTATTCTTCTACACTGCCGGTCACGGTAGCCGAACGGTCTAAGGCATGAACTGTCTTCGCCCGCTCGGAAGCCGGGATCGTGGGTTCGGATGTTTCCTGTGAGGTACGAACTGAATTCTTATATATTATTTTTATAGACTGCCGGTCACGGTAGCCGAGCGGTCTAAGGCATGTACTGTCTTCGCTCACTCGGAATCCGGGATCCTGGGATCGAATCCCACACAAGGCATTGATGTTTGGTATGTGTATGTATTTATTCTGTGTTTGTGTTGTCCCATGTTTAGGTAGAAGCCTTGCGACGAGCTGATCATCCGTCCAAGGAGTCCTACCGTCTGTAAAATGATCGTGAAACTTAGAAATCAGTCCTGTGCTCCAAAGTGAGAGCGAGAGGAGATAGAAAGAAAAATTAAGATTCGGAATTTGTGGCGTTAAATTAACTCGCCTAGTCTGAATATCCGGAGTGACCGAAATCTTAAAATATCATTTGTGCAGGATATGTTTGTCGTGATGGACCGGTTAAATTGAGTGGGATAGGTGAACGACAGTAAAGTACTAAGCGAGTGTTTGTTCAGCATGGTGTGTGTATTTACTCATTACTTGCTGAGCTCTCTTCTGGCCGTTGGTCTGTGTACGAAACCGGAAATACATTGTTCTGAGGAGTTATCTACGTAATGTTGGTTTTAGCTGTCTCTGTTTAATACATATCCGGTTGGAAGTTAAGCACGCTTTGTACAGGTATTACATTTCTCCTGTAATTCTCCGAAGTGCAGTGGCGGATCATTTTTGTGTTTTAAAAGGGGGAATTAGTTTACGGTATCATGTTATGTGTCCCCCTAATAACAGTTGACGAATCGGATACAATTTCATGACAGCCTCTGTGGTCTAGTGGTCAGAGTTCCTGACTACAGATCCAGATGTCCCGGGTTCGATTCGCGGCGCTGCCAGACTTTCTGAGAGTAGTGGGTCTGGAACGGGTCCACTCAGCCTCATGAGGATAATTGAGGAGCTATTTCAAGGAAATAGCGGCTCCGGTCTAGAAAACCGAGATTAACAGCCGTGTGGATCCCCTGCGCTGACCACGTGACACTCTTTGTCCGCTGAAGTTGGCACTAACTTCGCCAACAAACGGCGGTCGCTCGGTCGGTATAATTCGCTTGCGGACTACAGGCCACGGAGTTTGTTTTTTTATACAGTTTCATAAACATTGGTATGTACGTTATGCCATTATAGGTCATCCCGTGTTCGTGCTTTTTAATTTCCTACCACGCGTAATATCATCATAATATGCGCGCTGACGTCTAGGCGAAAGTCGATCTAGCGCCACTTCATATAGAATCCTGAAGTTTCGTATGGTAATAGAACTCCGAAAAGTGACATGATTTGTGTAATGGTGTTATGTGTGTGGAGCCTAAAACAACAATAGCAGGCTATTTTATCTTCCGGATTGGCGTTGTCGACCGTTAGATCTCGACGTACTAAACTTGCTATTAAAGTTGGCTATACACACAGATCTTATGAAACACTTTCATATATTAACAATTAGAAACGTGACAGCTGGCGAAACGTTTGGTTATATCTGGCAAATGTAAAATAATTCAGAAATTGTACTAGTGAATTATTCATTAATTTATAATTAATTAATAGCGTATAGTTTGCCTGTATATTAATAAAAAAAACTCCGTGGCCTTAGTCCGCAAGCGAACTATACCGACCGAGGGAATGCCTCTTGTCGGCGAAGTTAGTACCAACTTTAGCGGATAGAGGGTGTCGCGTGGTCAGCGCAACGAATCCCCATGGCCGTTAATTTCGGTTTTCTAGACCGGAGCCGCTATTTCCTTGAAATAGCTCCTCAGTTATCCTCACGAGGCTGAGTGGACCAGTTCCAGATTCATTCTCAGAAATTCTGGTAGCGCCGGGAATCGAACCCTGAACCTCTGGATCTGTAGCCAGGAACTCTGACCACTACCACATAGGCGGTCGTATAATTAATTACATTTTAATTTATCTGCGTTTCAGAATCTGTGAGTTACTTTGCTGTTGTCTTGTCCCTGACTCGTCAAATTTACATGGTACTTCGTTGCGGTAAAGATACCCATTAAATTCTTGCTTTGAAATTCCGTATATAACGTTCATCACATATTCGAAGAGAGCCTCGATAGCTCTGTCGCAACTAGGCTACGGACTGGGCGACAGGATTCAAGGTTCGATTCCCGGCAGAGGTAAAAAATTTATCTCTTCTCCATAACGTCTACAGCGGCTCTGAGGCTCACCCAGCCACCTATAGGATTGATTATCGCAGTGTCTTTCTCAGGAGTTAAAGTGGCCGAGGCGTGAAGTTCACCACTCAGCTCTGTCTCTTGTCGAGGTTAAGAATGTCGGAGTTATACTTTCCCCCTCCCCCTTGGCACTACAGCCCCAGTGAGCCTAGGCCTACCTCCATGAACTTCTCCGTTCACTTCGGTTTTTCTCGATCTTACACATTCCGTAGGACTCCTTGGGCGAGTGATCAGCTCGTCGCAAGGCCTCTACCTGTACACAAACACAGAAAAACGCACACACACACAAACTAAACATCCATGCCCTGAGTGGGATTCGAACCCACGATCCCGGTTTCCAAGCTAGCGAAGACAGTGCATGCCTTAGACCGCTCGGCTACCGTGACCGGCGGAGTTATACTTCACTCCCCCATATATCTTCATGTTGTGGTACTTAATTAATTAAGCCCAGGGAGAATCTGCCTCTCTGGAGCGGGTTCCAAACATAGGGATTACATGATCAACCTTGTATGGCTCTAGTCTAAGCAGTGGATGAAAACGGGCAGGCAGGCTGGCGTCTTTCCGAAGTCTAGGGCACTCACCCGTCTTGTCTACATTGCGTGCATGGAAAAATAACGAGAAGTTTGAGAAAAAAATAATGGCGGCTGCTGTCTGTGAATGCTTTATTATGCAGAGAGAAACAAACAGAAATGACGTAGTATCTTCATGCATAATTTCCGCAAGTATGGACTTCCACTGCCTTCCTGAAGCTTTAACGTCTTGCACTGTTGACGTTTGTGCTCGTTTACTTGTTTCATATCAACTGTATGTTGTCACGAGTTCCTGGCTACAGATCCTGAGGTCCCGGGTTCCGATTCCCGGCGCTACAAAATTTTCTGAGAAGTAGTGGTTCTGGAACGGGGTCCACTCAGCCTCGTGAGGATAATTGAGGAGCTATTGCAAGGAAATAGCGGCTCCGGTCTACAAAACCGAAATTAACGGCCGTGGGGATCCGTTACTCTGACCACGCGACACCCTCTATCTGCTAAAGTTGGCACTTACTTCGCCGACAAGCGGCGGTCGCTCGGGCGATATAGTTCGCTTGCGGACTCAAGCCACGGAGTTTGTTGTGTTTATATATTGACACCTTAGACACAGCACCAGGAACTACAGGAAATCACAGCGCCGTCGCTAACTTCCGCACTTTACAGCTCACTGCTGCAAATACACTAGGGTTCCTCTCCACTAGCTGTTTCCTGGCAACGGATTCATAACAGTGTCACTTTACTTCACATCACATATGAAGCCTTCTTTGCACAGTCTAATTCATTTCTTGCAATTTCTTCTCAATTATTCTGGCAGCTGCAAACTCCGAAGATTGGACTGAATTCTGATTCCAAGCTCATATCGTGGCAGGCTGGCGTCTTGAAACTCAACTAATTCAAACGATCTTCTTTGTTCTTTTTATAACCCCTCTGCACGGACCACGCAGAAAACAGCCTCTCTCTTGTTGAGGAAGTGTGTTTACAGCGATTGTTGTTTGCGTATTCGTTGCTGCGAGAATATGTTCACCGAGCAGTTGCCTAGCAGTGGACGTCTCCTTACTCTTCCGGCTTTCGGGCGATTATGATCGTTGTCTGCTGTTTCATAGTTTGACCATCGTGTCCCTACGATTCGTAGGAAGCGACGAAAAGGGAAGTCTCAAATCCGGGGCAGTAAAATATGGTCGCGAGTCCCAAGGGACCCGGACCCGAGAAAGACTGCGCTGGCAAGGCCCAGCAGCATATACAAAAGACAGACCCGTCCTCTCGTCAGAAAGGGCGCCTCACAACAAGACCGTAACTGTCAAACGGTAATAAATATCTGGTCATGAGCCCCAGATTTGGCTGGACACAAGACTGACTGACTGACTGACTGACCGACCGACCGACCGACCGACCGACCGACCGACCGTCAGTCGCAGTGTGACTTTGACTCTGACTTCATAGTTTGCCAGTTGGAACTGAAAGTGTCATCAGCGACAGTGCTTGAAACTGGAAATAGGAAACGGACAGAAGACCGACAGGTAAGTTACATATTTATATATGCATTAGATAACCGTTCCTTGCTTAAGGAATGGTAATGTTTAGTCGATGTCAAGCCCCAAACCCAAACGCTCCCCATGTCTTCTTTGTTACATGTCGAAGCAGGGTAGTGAATCATACATCTGGACGAATGGTATCGGACACAGTAAAGTCTGCAGGAAGTATTTCAGACGGAGGGAGTGCACTACGTTAAGAACATAGTGTACACGTTTTGAATATTTATTGCATCAGGAAGTTTGTCCTGCCGTGAGTGCATTTTCTGATATTTTCTCTCCCCCAACCTTGAATTTGTTTTGTGCCATTTGTCGCAGATGTGGTAAGCCAACCAGGGGGTGGACGTCGCAGTGCCAGTCCGGGTGTGCGCAGCCTCCATCGGCAGGGATCTGTCCAGTCCTCAGTATCTGGTGCCACCGTACTTCCCCCCTTCCTCTCTGCTGCCGCAGGCGAAGTTGGGACGCAACAGCTCACCCCACAGCAACTCGGCGTCATGGGTGAGTGCTCATCTGATGTCCACTTGATCTTTTTGGCTCTATTCGCATCCTTAAATAGCCACAACATACCGTCTGAGTAACGGAGTAACGAAAGTAGGCTTATGCGATCTCCATGCTGTCTGTGAATGTATCCCCCTCTCATCAGCTTTTGAATGCCTGAATCAATCTTTATGTATATCATGGCACCTGAACCCATCTCAACGGCGTACTTCATGAATCCCCCCCACCATTTTGTGTGTTCGCACGTGTATCGTTTCCAGACAAGGGCTGGGTACAGCTCTAGTACTTAGAGGTGACAGTCCTCCGACGCGGAGCAGGAGAAGTGTTGGTAGTGGCGGGGAGAGCTCCAGCATGCTGACAAGTGTGGAGGGGAATGCAGTACAGGCGTTCTCAAAAGGAAATAACTTCTTACCTCATTGTGTTGCATAGTGGTGGTGATTTATTCTCGTTGATGTTCACACATCCGATGTTAAATTTTAAGTGCCGAATGGCACACTGTTATGCACTATACACTGTTATACACTTTTCACTGTTATATACATGAAGAGTTTATTTACATGTTACACGGGTCTATTCTAAAGGGGCAACACCGGCAGTGTCCGCATAGATACCGCAGCAACGAATACACAACGTAACAATAGATGAATTGTTGGACGAGTCGTTTTATAAGCGGCCCGTGTCGTCTCAAGGAAAAGTAGGCTATTAATTATTCCCAGAAGTTGTTGTTTTGAAAAGAAAATGTGTTTATGTTAATATGTCGCACAGCGTTTTCTAAGAAGGTAATTTATCTGATTTTACTCATAGCTATAGAAAATCTGGATTGTATGCCAATCTTTTCCACAACATCCAGCTGTGTTGGCTTGTGCGTTAAGGATATTACGAATATTTGTGTATGCCAGTGGATCGTCCCTTTACAACAAAGACTGCATTGTTCAATTCTAAGAACATGCCCCATAAGTTTTTTTTATTGCTAGTGGGGTGGGACTAAGTCCCTTGCACTGCGGCCACTTCTGGCCTATTGTACCAGCCCCAGATGAAAGGTGAGGGTGATTTTGGAGCAATTGGTGGAATGAAGATTGGCAGGGGAAACCGAAGTACTCGGAGAAAACCCGCCCCAGCGCCACTTTGTCCACCACAAATCCCACTTAATCGAACCCGGGCCGCCGCGGTGGGAAGCCAGCGACTAACCGCTTGAGCTATGGCGCGGCGTGCCCCATGAGGTTACTAAATATTCTAAAATATCTTCTGCACTCTGATCCATATACGTAGTTAAGAGGACATTTTCAAGTTAAATATATAGATATTTATACAAGAATCATAGTTATCGGATAAATAAATATAGAATGCCACTAAACGTCACGTGAAATTAATATTAAAGTCAGTTCATATTTGAAATCTCCATATACGGTTCTCACATGAAGAAGGTCCCAATTAGTTTCCTAATAAACCAAACCGGTACTGACGCTGGCTTTTTGAAGGCTCTGTATATATGCAGTTTCTTTTACCATTCGTTAAAACCATTTATGTCATATTTACTAATTCTACGAGGCCTCAAAGTACCGATATACAAACTTAACATTCCAGTGGATCAACTCGTGCAGGAAATATTATTTCACCAAATGTCTGTGATGTGTGAAAAGTATCAGTAAATATCTTAGTACTGAAGTACGTCTCGGACAGTTCTGACTGCTGGTGTTTGCATGTCTGAATGTGTCAAGGAAATAGCGGCTCCGGTCTAGAAAACCGAAATTAACGGTCGTGGGGATCTGTTGCGCTGACCAAACAACACCCTCTATTCGCTGAAGTTGACACTAACTTCGCTGACAAGCGGCGGTCGCTCGGTCGGTATAGTTCGCTTGCGGACTAAAACCAGAGAGTTTGGTTTTTGTTTTGTTTGTTTGTTTGTTTGTTTGTTTGAATGTGTCCCAACAGCTGTTCGGAACGTTTCAGCGACAGATTTTGTTGTGACTCACTTCACCTCCACCCAGAGGTTACCAGCGATCCTCTTTTCTACAAAATCAAGCTATAACAAGTGCATGTAATTTACGTAACTTTTCCTTTCTGTATCTCTGTTATGAATTCTTTCGTTCCACCCTTCCCTGCTTGACATTGCTCGTTTGCACACTTCTCTTTACAGACTGTTTGAAAAACATTTTTCATCCCTAAGAAAGAAACTGAGTTTTACGTAACCGTGAACCTTAATATTTTTTCTCTTTATCGCTACAGCCCCACTTTGGGCCTTGGCCTACCTCCATGTAACTCTCCGCTTAACTTCGGTTTACTAGATCTTAGACATTCGGCAGGACTCCTTAGTCCGGTGATCAGCTCGTCGCAAGGCCTCTACCCGTACACAAACACTGAATATCCATGCCCTGAGTTGGATTTGAACCCACGGTCCCGTCTACCGAGCGAGCGAAGACGGTGCGTGCCTTAGACCGCTCGGCTACCGTGACCGGCGTGAACCTTAATTACTGTATATACCGGGATGGTGGGTTCGAATCCCACTCAGGGCATGGATATTCAGTGTTTGTGTACGGGTAGAGGCCTTGCGACGAGCTGATCACCGGCCTAAGGAGTCCTACCGAATGTGTAAGATCTAGAAAAACCGAAGTGAACGGAGAAGCTCATGGAGGTAGGCCTCGGCCCACTGGGGCTGTAGTGCCAAGGAAAATGGGGTTCTCCGTTAAACGTTTTCAGGCCAACCCCTTTGAAATATTTCAGCTGCCCCTTGCGAACAGTAGCTCCTGAACCGCTTCCTTTGTATTTCCATAGAAATCGGTTAGCAATGTACTATTGATGCTTGTTGACGTTTTGACCAGTTCACTTCTTGTCTGATTTCACCAGGTCTTAACTCTTTTGAAGTAGTTTTCCATGTTGGAACCCCATACTCATAGCCGAAATGTTTAATTTTACATAAATCATTAAATAACGCACGCGTAGCATACAATTGTAGAGCTGATATTACTAGTTAGACGTGTTTCAGTCGCTATCCTGGAGCTGTAAGACAAGTAAATTCGGGGACATGATCAGAGCCGCAGTATATTCAAATCTACAGTATTACAAGGACCTATTGTACTTACGGCTTCCGATTAACATTCATATCTAAAAAATATCAGCCAGTTTACATTATCCACCGACCTTAGATCAATGTGTAGGACGGGAGGTTATGAAGTATCCTGTGTTCTTAAATATAACGGAGTATTGAGCATCTGTGAACTATGTAAAAAAACAAATATAAATCACTCCGTCCAATCTGACCTGTAAGTTTTTTACTACATGAAAACTTAACACCCTTACATGTTTCGGTCTCTGTGGACCATCTTCAGAGGACAAACATCACTACTGGCAGTACTTTTCATGTAGTAAAAAACTTACAGGTCAGATTGGACGGAGTGATTTATATTTGTAATTGTTAGTGTGACGGACCAGAATGAAACAAATCAAACTTATGTAAAAAAAAATCGTAAGTTTATCTCTATTTCAGTGTAATCAAATTTGGTATCCGTTTCGTAGTCTATTTATTATAAATTTTCAAAATGTTTCACGGACTTATGAATAATCCTGTATTATAGGCATTATACGGAGGGAAATGTAAAAGAAGAATATGACCTGCATCTGAGATGTCGGAGTGAAGGTATAATTTACCAACCGAAGCTTATGATAGGTCTTGTCTCTGATGCCTCCAGTTTGTTTATGCACACAAATCACAGTCAGCAATTTAAAACCAATTAATAGCTTTAAGTGGGCTCTGTCGCCTGTGTCAATTACGTTTGTCGCCTTAGTTACTGAACGTGCAATTAACGGCAAGAAACAAGTCGCCTTAAGAAATGATTCTTCGACGAGGCCCTTCCTCATGTTATAAAGTCAGAACCAGGTTGTCCAGTTCGTAAGTGGTATAATTATTATATAGCTCTGATCCAGCGTCCTTCTCAATGGAATAGCGATTTTAACTTTCAGAGCCATTTGCCCTATTTCATGTCGTACTTTTTCTTTTATCCGACGGGAAAAAAGTAGCCCAATGAGTTGAAAATTACTCAGGTGTAATCGGTACAAGGTTTAGACGCGCTGTGAATATGAAGTGCTGTTCCGTTCGTGTGTTGCTGTTGCTCAACTTTACAAGGTCGGCAGTTTATGTTTTCCTGTCGAAATGTTTTTATATGTTTTGCTTCCCAACTTCTGCGGTTTCTCTTTATATTGAATGCAACTTCTTAACAAGGTCAACTTCACGATCAGTATTAAGATTCACTGAAATGTCAGCAAAAAGCGGATACATCAATCAGAGGTTGTGGTAAGCAGCTCATGTCTCTGGTAACTGGTTGATTTCATGAAGTAGAATGATCCTCGTGAAACAGCTTGGTAGTGGAGATGACCAAAAAATTATGGAAGAAACTTGAGTCACACACAATCTCTGGATCAAGAGATGTGCTGTCACAATGTCTGTATGGAATTGTATGCCATATATTTCGAGATTGGCTGATAGGGCCAACAGGTTCCATCTCAGGAGCCAGACGAATGTTATCGCCATGTCCACATCGAACTGTATTCCCAGATAACTAAGGTCTGAAAGTTTGTGACGATTGTACACTAATGCAGTTACTGACTTTTTAGACATTATCCATAGAGAAAACTAAGTATATGTTGCTGTCTCGTCACCAAAATGCAGGGCAAAATCATGACATAAAGATAGGAAACAGATGTTTTGAAAATGTGGCACAGTTCAGATATTTGGGAACAACGATAACAGATCGAAACCTGATTCAGGAAGAAATTAAGAGAAGATTGAACTCGGGTAATGCTTGCTACCATTCAGTACAGAACCTTCTGTCTTCTAGTCTGCTGTCCAAAAACATAAAAATTAGAATATACAAAACTATAAGTTTGCCTGTGGTTCTGTATGGGTGTGAAACTATTAAGGGAGGAACATAGACTGAGGGTGTTGAGGAGAACATTTGGACCGAAGAGAGATGAAGTGACAGGAGGTTGGAGAAAACTGCACAATG